TGCGTTCTGTGTTGGCGTATAAGTACGAATACTTCATGTTAAAATAATGTTTAAAAAACATAGAGGTTGTTGCATGCATGCATTTCTAGTTTGATTTAAATTTTCAAAATATTTGGTTCAGGATAATTAGGAGAGATGTCTAATCCAAGGTTGTAAAAACTGAAAGCATTTGTTTTTTCACCCCAGTCAAATTTAATTTACATCAGCTAGGCTTTAATATAACCATATTAATGAATCGAATTAGGACAAATATATTATAAGAATTCCGGCAGAGCTCAGAAAAATAACAAAGCGTATATTGACAGCCGAATAAATAATTAAGTCAGACCCCTCCCCCTTTACTTGACTCAAATTGGAAGCCAGAAAATTAATCTTAGCATTGGTGATTTTATGCTTCACGTTTTTAAGATCTAATTTGCTTTATATACAATTTACTATAGTGTATACTAATGAATGTACTTCAGAAATTAAGGAACTACACGCGTATTTTGCGACACACAGTGAAATATAAGTTTACCTATGTAATTCTATTTAAGAGTGTTGCCAGTTACGTAGGTAAATTTACATATGTGATTATATTTAAGAGTGTTGACAGTTACGTGCTAGGTAAATTTACCTATGCAATTCTATTTAAGAGTGTTGACAGTTAATTACGTAGGTAAATTTACATATGTAATTATATTTAAGAGTGTTGAGAGTTACGTATGTAAGTTTAAGCTATATAATTAAATTAAATGTTATGTTGCATGGCTAAATTTTGCGTAGGTTATTTGCACGGAAATTATACATATACATATGTATAATTATGTTCTCCGTATTTCCATGGTAATTCGTCGTATGTAAGTTTTGTGCGTAACGATACGTAGGTATTTAAATTTATCGAAATAAAGTAATAGTAGCATTAAGCGGAGCTCGTTATCTAAATGCGTAAACGGAAAATTAAGAGGATAATCTATTTCTCAAAGTAATATAAGTGCGTCATTGTAATTTGAATCGTATCGATTTCCATATCATACTGAATTAGTCCTACTTAGATAAGGTTTAAAATTGCAAATTAAACTGTATATAACTGAGCACCAAACGTGTAGTTTAATTCATGGTAATTATTGGCCGATGTTGGTACCTATATCTATAAAGAACACCATCAGGCATAAAGAACATGCTTTGTGATTGGTTAATCATGAATTGTGCAAATGGTAAATCTTACTTAAATTATAAATTATAACTTAATTCTAAACATTAATGTAGGAGAAGGCCAAGGTAATCAGATTTTTGGCACAACTCAGAATAGCTGCCGTTTAGGACCTTCATGTTACATTCACTTGTGCACTTGAAAATGTCAATGTTATAGCAACGGATCTGGTTCCAGCAGTTTAGCATGTGAGCAGATATTAAATTAAATTAACATTGAAATTTACCGCCATATTTCATAATTAAGCCCATGATCAAGAGCATTAATTTGATTAGCTGCTAGAAACGGAATACTTTTTTTAACCTTGTAGCTCACCATTTTAACCTTTTAGGATTTATCCTGGTCAAAACCAATACGAAAAAGTCTGAAATGCATATGAATGTTGAAATTTTAGAAAAACTACAAGGGGATATTAGAAGCACGCTATTGTAACTTAAAACAAAACTTATTTTGTACGGTCGAAAAATCCCGCGCATATGATTACGAGGGCCTTGCGCAGCCGTAGTTCCGAGCTCATTCCCAACAAGCGACCTCGGATATAATTATCGCTTATTTACTTCGTCCACAAAACACACTGGTTTCCCGAGGTCTCGGTAAATAAGTGTTTTACTATATATCAATAGTCAAACAAACAACAAATTAATTAAAGAACAAATGAACGTAAATATACATGAAATATTTTATTGTTAAAACGTTAAATTAAACACTGCAGTAACAGTTACTTAAAGCGAAAGTTTAAATTGCTAGGCATGTCCAAAGGTCGCATCTTCACGTGATGGCGCATGTGATTTTTTTTTCGTTATTCGCCGGTCGATAACGTATTGCTTCCCTCTCATGCTGTTGCGAGGGAGACAGCCTAATTTCGTCACTCCCACGTGATATGCTCTCAACCAATAAAACACTAGAAAAATGCGACTTTGACTATTGATATATAATAATAGTATTTATATAGAATGAATTAATAACACTGACTGCACAATAAACTGATTTTGTATAGTCGAGAATTCCCGTGCGCGATTACGTGGCCCTGGCGCAGCGCGTAGTCCCGAGCTAATTTCCCACAACCGACCTAGTATATAATAATATTTATATAGAACAAATCATAAACACTGACTACATTTGTTTCAGAAATCCAATCACAAAACGTTTTCATATTAAGTAAGTACTTACTGGTGTTTTGTCCAGGTGATCGATTCAGAATGTTTTTCTTTCCGTCAATGTCACTGGATTGCTATAAGAATCTATATAAGTGGTAATAATTTCATTTTCAAGAAAAGATTAAACTGGTAGAATACTAACTTAATATGACTTAGTGCAAGAAATGATCTCTGAATTAATTTCTGCTCAGACTAAACCCTGATATAATTGATCAACTCTTCTGATAGTTGATCAAATTGGCGCGAAAATGAAACAAATATTTTAATTATTTTTCCATAAAACATTTGGAAAGTACAGGTATTGCCTTAGATATATTTCAACGACAAACCAGATAATTCTTACCTAATTTGTTCAACGTGGATAGTGTCCGGCTTTTGTTACAATGCAATATTGGAGTACCCAAAGACGGTATGTTACTTGCGTGCGCGTTTTCGTCAAACTAAATGTGTTACTTTGAAAAGACTGTAAAAACGCCGCATTCAATTTTGTTTTAATTAATTCAGTACAATAATCCGACGATATACCAGTCCACATAGAATTGCTTCATTCGCTATCTGGCTAGCCCCCCATGGCATAACACTCTATGCGCGCGCGCAATATGCGCAATTCTATTACTACTTTTATCAGTATCTAATAATCATACAAACTAACCTCTCACAGAGGAAAATAAAATCTGTTTCCGATAATCAAATGACCTTCCTTATTTCATCTCATGTATTTATCTAATTCCATATGTGTTTATTTTTCTTTAAATATCAGTAGGGCCTACAGGAAGTACCAACAGAAGTGACGGATAGGATAAAAAAAAATTGTGTTACATCCGATAACCCAAATTTAAAAGAATGTTCGATTTTTTGAAATTTGACGCGTAAATACTTAGTATTTGTCTAATATTCTGTCCAACAGTCGTTCTTTGTTTTGTAAAATATTGGATGTTGCGTTCGAATGCTAGTAACAAAGAAAACAAACTGCAACGCAAATTAGTGTCGATGATACAACAATCGGAAAACCTAAGTGCATGGATTCCATGTGAAATTTGCGGGAAATATTCAGCGTCAAGTTCCGTCATTTTCAGGTTTTTACAAAGCTTCTTTCTTATCACTGTATAGGTGCATAATCAGATATTAAGCAAATGAAAATCGATTGTGAGCTTTCACCATGATTTTTAAGCCAGGGTTGGTAAGTTAGATGAATAATTAGGCCAAATCGTCATTAGTGCCATTTAGAAAACAAAGAAAAGAAAAGGCCAAGACAAAGAAAACAAAGACCTAGTGTGACGGTGTTTGGCCTAATTATTCAGCAAACCTACCAACCCTGTTTTAAGCTTCAAATCAAAACACCTGGTGAAGAAATCACCTGGAATATAAATCACCTGGACTGGAAATGAAGAAACCATCTGGCCAAAGCAAGCATTAATACCGATTTAGATCTGTCATTATTCAGCACCGATTGAAAATTACAAGTAATTTCGATACTTGAATTCCATGATTGAAGGTCGATAGGTGAATTTGGATAGTACAACATTCAGCTGAGCGGCTGTCCTATTCCTTCAAGTGAGCATGCGAGTTTCGGCAGCTTCGCCATGGGCGTCAATTCTGGGGGGGGGGGAGGAATGGGGAGGACGCGTCTCCCCCCAGTTTTTGGAGTGGGGGACAAATATCTAATTATCCCCCCATTTTTTGACATGTTTAATGAAATTCTGTGTCTTGGTTATTTAAAAACCTAATGCATGGTATGCTGTTCATCAAAAATTGTGATTGAAACGAAGACATTTAATAAGAAGAAGTACAACGTATGATCTTTCTGTCAGGGCTGTAGCTAGAACGCTAATTGGGGAGAGGGGAGTATATTAATATATTCGAGTTCTGTCCGACGG